GGGCGGCCCCGGGCGGGCAAGTGTCCCCGCCCCCTGGTGCCCAGCGGGCGAACGGCCACGCCCCCTGGCGCCCGACAACCTGAAAAGGTTGGGGACCACTGTTTTAGAAGAAAGGTGCTGTGATGGTTAAAGCTCTGTGACTTGGGAGACTCAGGGTATGTCTAGACTGCAAAACTGTCAGGATACTGCAAGTATCCCAAAATAGCTACCGCACATCCAAGGAATAATTTTCAAAATAACCGACACACTATATCAGCATCCCTGTAAACCTAGTTTCACAAGAAATAAGGGATGTCCCGAAATAGCCTATTTTGAAATAAAATCAAATAGCACAAATTGCATACCTTATTTCAGTTTAGAGTGCAGTCTAGCTGTAGCCCCAGATTCAGTTTCCTATTTTGCTAGATGATTTGTGTGTGACCGTGGGCAGATCACTTAGTCTCTGTCTGTTCCTGGTTTGTAAAACTGGGCTTTTACTTCTCCCCATTAGGGATGTAAGTGACTGGTCACTTAAAAGCCGGTTCCCCCCTGCACCATCTCTGTGGGAGGCAGAAGGGTAGCGGGACTGGGTGCAAGCTGGGAATGCTCATGTATTTTTTTTTTTCATTCATTCATTTATTTATTTATTTACTTTTCTGCAGGTGAAAAAGGTGTGAGGGTTGAACTCAATAAACCTTCTGACTCCATTGGGAAAGACGTTTTATAAAGCATTTAATCTAGCAACTTTCCTTGCTACTCTCCCCTGGTGAACTCTTAACTCTTGAATGTGAATAATGAGATAAAGGAAAATTGACAACAGATCAACATTTTAATAAGGAAACAAACACAGCATTTCAATGTTGCATCAAACAGAAGATTTTGACTGCAAATCAGCATTGTGCTATGTGATTGTGACTTCAGACCTGTGACTGCTTATGTAAAGAAGTTAAGCAATCAGTAAGAAATAGCGTACACATATGGACATGAAATAAGTGCCCTACATTGAAATTTTCCATTCTTATATTTTGCCAGACCTGTCATCCAGCTGAATCCAATTCATCTCCCCCTTTTTTATATGGTAAAGTTTGGATTTGGGATAATTTTTGTATGACCAGGTACAACTTATTGAAATTGAGTAGAAATACAGTATTCTCCAAAATGTCATTGATCTATTTTTGTAAAACTATTCATACTGTTCTCTTCCATGAAAGACCTAATTTAATATAAGAATTGCCAGTAACTACTGATGACTTTAATTTTCTTTACACCTGAAATCCGAAAAGGAGCACTTTAATAACCAGCTAAAAACCTGATTGTTTTATGTTCATATCTCACACTAATTTGAATTTTAAGATTGCTGCTGTATTGTTTTTGACTATGTCCTTTATGAAACTTGTTAACAAACAAATCACTGTTACTATCAATAACTTCTAATTCATGGTGTGTATGTGTGTTTGAATCTGCAGAGGGGAAGGGTTCTGTGTCTCTAAGTGACTGGCACTAAGTGAACTTGACACTATCCATGCTATAGGTGGTCTTGGGGACCTGGTAAATACCGTCAAGCTCCTTGGATACGTAAGGGCTTTCCTAGACTTCTAGAGGTTCCCAAAATCACATCCCTACTTGACAGGAGACTTTCACATTTTTCTTCCTTTCTGAAAGATTTTCTTTTAGTCTATGTAAGTTAATAGAATGTTGAAATTCACAAACTTTATGTTCTTTCTGAGTATCAGTGTCCCATCTGATCTGCAGGCTGGCACCTTGATCTATTATATAGTATCAAGCAAACATTCAATACATTGAGGCTGAAGTGCATCACTACAGGCTTCATGTGTAATACATTCTGCTGAAGGATTTCCCCAGAAAGGCACTGACCTTTGATCAGTACTGAGTATTTAGTGAAAAAATTTGCTTTTATTTTTACATGTTAATTTTTTAAAAGGAAAAGCAGACTTTACATTCAAAAGCTTTCAAATTCTGTTACTTAAGAGATGGATGTTGTTGTCATGAGTTTAAAAGTTTGAGAAAGCAAAGAAAATCCTAAAAGGCAGCATCCATATTTATAAATGTTTTTGGTATTCGAGTTCGCCGACTTCAGTTTTTCTGTCTGTCCTTGATTTCCTGACATAGCCAAAACAATGTGAGTGTACAGAAATGTTTCTGTATATAATATTACAATTTAAGACAATTTTAGCATCTGTATAGTTTGTATTCAATCAGACCTTTTCTATGGAAAGCTCAGTAATTTTTATTATAAAAGATTACTATTCATGTAAAACATGAAAAACCCAACAACCCTAATTGTATTTAGTGACAAACTGACCTGGGGAGGGGGTGGGGAATTCAGTATTGTAATACAATGGAGGAGACCTTAATGGAAAATTTTTCATTTTGTTCAGAACTTTATTCTCACTCTTCACAGCTTTGCTTCTCTTTCCTCCCTTCTTCCCAGAAAATCAAACAAGACACCTCTACTGTAAGTGCCTCTGCCAGCCTGACCAAGGAGTACAAATCTTCATTACTGTCTAGTCTGCAGTGCGGTGCATTGCTTTAGGCCAACTTTAAAAAAAAAAAAAAAAAAAAAGCCATCACTTTTAATCTTACTACTTTTGTATTATTTTGATGGAGATTTGATTGGTTTTGTTTTGGAAATATACAGCATGAGCTTTTCAATTCTTTGTCAGTCAGTCTGTAATTCAAACTTCTATTTCTGCAGGTATGCAAAGTATCAGATTCTAATCACTGTATAGGTTTGTGCTTGCCAGACAGGTTTTAAAAAGTGCTTAATTTTTTTGTTTCATCATTCTTGTCAATCACTACAAAAGGGTCAGAAAATCAGAGCAGCCATTTCATTAACAGTATCCTTTTAGAATCTGTTTATTTCATGTCAATTGAAATCTACAATTGTGAGTGTCATGAAGCAGGTCCTGTTTAAAACTATTTTTTAAACTGTCTTATGACCTTTATATGTTTAGTCCTGGTTAAAGATAAAGCTTCCTAATGCTATTTTTATTCATTACATTAGCCGACTATAAAACACACGAGACTTTTTTCTATAACAGGCAAAGAAATTCAGGATTCATTTACAGATTGCCTATAAAGTCATGTAATTTGAAAAGCAGTGTTCATTATAAAGAGCTCTCAAGTTGCTTGTAAAGCTAATCTAATTAAAAAGATGTATAAAGGTTATCGGAAAACAATGTGGTGGTTATTTGTAATTCTGTAACTTTTTAAAGCTTACTCCAAAGCAACTAATTTATAATCTGATAAAATAAGGGTGTGTGTCTGTTTTTAGCATTCAGTGACACTGCAGCTACAGTCAAGGGTCTGTCATTTGTTTCCTTTATAAACTCTGTTTTTAATTATCCGGATGTGTGTGTTTGATTTGGCTTTTTTAATTGAGAGGAGGTTGAGAAAAAACAGGTGTCAGTTTTTAGACTCGTGGGTGAGCTGTATTGGTGTAAGTGGTCTTGTACACCAGTGCAATGAATCTACATAGGGTGGGTGGTTTGTATTAGTGTAGCTACACTGGTGCAAAACCCCCAACCTTTACAGACATGATTTCCCCCCCCCCCCCCCCCCCCGAGCTCATCATGAATGTTTACCCTTGAGGACAGCAGTAACATGGTACAATGTGAGCCAGACTTCCTCTTGCATGTCATTGGCCAACCCTTGCAAATTATAAAGGTTGTTTTCTATGCCTTCTAGTCGGTCCTTTCCTGACCACTGTTTGATGAACAGGTTTCTGCTTCACTCCAGCTCTTATAAAGTCTCTTAAATGTACTACAGGTTGGACCTCCCTCATCTGGCACCGTGGGGATCTGACTAGTCCCAAACAAGGGGATTTGCTGAATGAGGGAAGGTCCTTCCCAAGATGACCCATGCCGCCCCTGGCTAGGACTCCAGCTGAGCCCTGTTGCTGCCTGCCCAGCTAGGATTCCTCACGCCAGGGCTCCATAGCTGCTGGGACCAGAGCTCTGAGGCTGTCGGGACTTTGCAGCTGCCAGGGCTCTGCAGCAGCCGGGTCTCCGTGGCTGCTGGGGCTCTGCAGCCATTGCCAACCCTCGCTTACCACCTGGCAGCAAGGGCCAGAAATCCCTGCTGTGCTGCCCACCCCTCTCAACACTGGGCTTCTGACTGAGCCCCCTCAGGGCTCAGCGCCCTCTCCCCCACTCCTGCCCTGTGGCCTGACCTCTTGTACCTGGACTCTGTGGTCCAGGAAAATCATGGTCCTGCTGGGCCACAGATGTTGCCAGACCAGAGAGTCCTGGTTAAAGGAGGTACAATCTGTAGTTTTCCTTAAAGTTGGTTCTTTAACAATTCCCTACATTTCTAGGTCTGTCAGCCTCTGTTTGCTTTTGTCCTGCTCCAGCAGCTGGATATTTAGTACAGTACTTTGGAACATGTGTGGCATTTCAGTCACTTGGCCTCAGTCTTGCCCTGCTTCGTTTTCTTTTATCAGTTCATTGATGGTTAATTTAAAGCACTTTTTTAGCAGACCACCCCCAGTACTTTGAGGTCTGATTTGTAGTTCAGTGCCACGTAAATCACTCTATGGGATCTTTGTCAGGTATGTCTAAGTAGGAAAAGATTTGGCAGCTTCATATCATGTCTGATGGACTATCCTATTTATTATAGAGTTGACCATGATATGCAAATGGGTAACAGATTTGCTGTCAGTGACACACAGTGGATTAAATGAAATTAAAGGGAGAATTCTCTCTGGAAGCTTGGAGGGAAGTCACCTGTAAACTTGGTAGAAGGCTGTCTGAGTGCTGTCAAGCAAAAATACTAGAAACAGAAGCCTGAGGCAGTCAAAAATTCAGGTAACCATTATTTAGTCCAGGGACTGTGGAGTGAAATGACCATGTTTGCATGCATATACATCTCGTGCACATTAACTAGGTATCTTGGAACCAGGCTTAAAAAAGCATTTTAGCAGTTTCTTCAAACCATTACCATAAAAACTGGACTACAGAACAATTCTTAGAGCCACAAAATCCAGTAAGTATAGTATAAAACTGGGGTGGGATTTATACAGAGGCAATAAGACATTCTCTGTCTTATTCTTGATCCCTTTTTAAACAATTTCTTACATAGTTTACTTTTTTGACTGCTGCTGCACACTGAGTGGATGTTTTCAGAAAACTATCCACAGTAACTACAAGATCTCGCTCTTGAGTAGTTGTAGCTAAATTAGTCCCCATCATATTGTGTATATATAGTTGGGATTATTTTTTCTAGTGCGCATTACATTTATCAACATTAAATTTCATTTGCCATTTAGTTGACTAATCACTTAGTTTGGTGAGATCTTTTTGAAACTCTTCACAAACTGCTTTGATCTTAACTATCTTGAGCAGTTTAGTATCATCTGCAAATGTTGCCACCTCACCGTTTACCTCTTTTTCCAGATCATTAATAAATAGGTTGAATAGGATTGGTCCCAGAATGGACCCTTGGGGCACATTAGATTTCCTCATTTGAGGAGCAGCTACTCACCGAGCAACAGCACAGGTGAGTAGCTGTGAGGAACGGTGGGAATTTTTTTTTAAAGTAGCAGTATAAGGATTGGGGATAGCAAGTGATGAAGAGGTGGAGCAGAGAGTTGGCGGGGCTTCAAAGAAGGTGCGGGGTGGTAGAACTTGGCTTGGTCTGTCATTTAAAAAGTGATCTTGGGTGTAAAAAAGGTTGGAGACCACTTGTCTAAATGATCACCATGTGGGATTATAGGTGGGGTTTGAAAGGAATTTTCCCATCCGAAGAACAATCGTTACTTCACAAGGTTAGGAACTTCTTTTTCTTCTTCGAGTGGCCCCGTGGGTGCTCCACTCTAGGTGACTCCGGAGCAGTACCTAAAAAGAGTCCAGAGCGCTCCGAAATTAGGCTTTATGATCACGACTAAGTACTGCCATAGCTACCGAAGAGTCCGAAGCAAACTGGTCAACTATAGCATAATGTCTCATAAAAGTGACATTAGAGGACCATGTTGCTGCCCTGCAAATGTCCCGGAACGGGACTCCCTTCAGGAAGGCTGTAGTAGTGGAAACCGCTCTGGTGGAGTGGGCCTTTGGAGGGTTTGGCAGAGGTTTCCCTTGTATAGAATGGCACATAGATATGCATGAAACGATAAGTCTTGAAATACGTTGGGAGGTCAATGGTTGGCCTCTAGAACGGTTTGCCAATGACACTATTAAACGGTCCGTTTTCCTAAAGTCTCGCGTTCTATCAATGTAGAATGCCAAGGCTCTTCTTACATCCAGCGTATGCCATATTGTTTCTTGCACTGAGGCATGGGGTTTAGGGAAGAAGCATGGAAGAACCACTGGTTCATTAATGTGAAACTCAGATGAAACCTTTGGAATAAACGCTGGGTGAGCTCTCAAAGTGACTGAGTCTTTAGAAAAAACTGTATAGGGAGACGAAGCCATGAACGCTGCTATCTCACTGACCCTACGAGCTGAAGTAAGGGCTAGGAGAAACAAAAGCTTGGTGGTAAGTACGTGTAACGGAATAGTGGCTAGAGGCTCAAAGGGAGGATTAGATAGCTTCCAATACTAAATCCAGATTCCACGAGGGTGGAGGGGGTCTGCGGGGTGGGTTGAGGTTCGCAAGCCCCTTTAGGAATCTTTTCGTAGTAGGGTGTGCGAATATAGAGAAGGAGTCGTCCATGTGATGAAAGGCATTAATCGCTGCCAAATGCACCCGTAGGGAAGCTATGGCCAGTCCATTATCCTGGAGTTGCAAAATGTACTCTAATATACGAGGTAAAGGTGTGGAATAGGGGTCCAGGTTGTTAACCACACACCATGCCTGGAATCTGGACCACTGCTAAACCAATGAGCATCCATGCTGTGAGGTGTAGAGTCTCGGGTTTCGGATGGCGCAGAGATCCGTTGTCCTGGGTCAAGAGATTTGGAAGGAGAGGTAGGGGGTACGGTGCTCTTACCGACATCTGATGGAGCATTGAGAACCAAGGTTGAAGAGTCCACGCTGGGGCTATAAGAATTACTCGAGCCCCCTCTATGCTGATTTTCTCGAGAACCTTGGGTATTAGAACTCTTGAACAACAGGTGGGACGTTTCATGTTGTTTTCTGTCGCAAACAAGTCTATTGTCGGAAACCCCCACCGAGCAAATATATGGCTCAAAACCTCCGTGCAGATTTCCCACTCGTGGACATGAGAGAAACGTCTGCTGAGTGAGTCCGCTATTAAGTTGTCAACAGCCGGGAGGTAGGATGTGGGGAAAACGTCTGCTGAGTGAGTCCACTACTAAGTTGTCGACACCCAGAAGGTAGGATGCTACCAGAATGGTGGTGTTGTGAATACACCAATTTCATAACCGGACGGCCTCCGCACATAGAGAACGAGATCGGGCGCCTCCCTGCCTGTTGACATAAAACATAGTTGCCATGTTGTCCGTCATGATTCTGGTAGTTGTATCCCGTATGTGGGACTGAAAATGCTTGCAAGCATGTCGTACCGCCCACAACTCAAGTATGTTGATGTGTAACATCATTTCTTGAGTTGACCAGCGACCCTGAATCGTCAGGTTGTCCATGTGCACCCCCCAGCCCGTGAGGGAAGCATCTGTAGTTATCTGCCTTGTAGGCTGCGGATGATGAAATGGGATGCCCGTGAGGAGATTGCCCGGTTTGGCCCACCACTGAATAGACTCTGGAACATGTTGGGGTACCACCACCGGTCTGTGGATACTGTCTTTTGCTGGACTGTAAACCATGGCCAACCAATGCTGGAGGCAACGAAAATGTAACCTTGCGTTTTGTACGACTACGGTGGAAGCCGCCATGTGGCCCATCAGTTGTAAACAGACGCATGTAGGAATTGTCGGAGCATGCGTGACAGTATGTACAAGGTCTTGAATCGCCACAAAACGCTCCAACAGTAGGTATGCCCGTGCCACGGTTGAGTTGAGCTGTGCACCTATAAAAACCAGGTCTTGGCACGGAATTAATAATGACTTTTTTACATTTATGAGGAGGCCCAGGGATGTAAACTCGCTGGACACTGTCTGCACCATATGACATGCCTCCACATATGTTGAGCCCCTGATTAGACAGTCGTCCAAATAAGGGAATATTGTTACTCCCGTCCTGCGTAAATGAACCACCACTATGGCTATAGTTTTGGTGAAGACCCGGGGGGCTCACGCCAATCCGAACGGTAGAACCCGGTACTGAAAATGTTCGTTCCCTAATTGGAACCAAAGAAAACGTCTGTGAGCCACGTGAATAGCAACGTGGAAATAAGCATCCTGCAGGTCGAGGACTGCAAGCCAATCTCCCTTGTTCAATGACGGAAGGATAGTTGATAAGGTCACCATCTTGAATCGGCATTTTCGAAGG